TTGCAACTACAGCTGGGGTTATGCCTTTTGTAGGAGTCAACAAAGATATTTTGTTTAATATAAAATAATTATTTGCTTCACTTTGCTGTTCACTATCCTTTAGTGAAGTAATTAAAATTTCATTCATGTGCAACATCTGTCAGTGCTCCCTCAACCTCTACTGTGACTCCTTATGTCATATAAGGGGGGGAGGGATAGCTCAGTGGTTTGAGCATTAGCCTGCTAAACCCAGGGTTGTGAGTTCAATCCTTGAAGGGGCCATTTAGGGATCTGGGGCAAAATCAGTACTTGGTCCTGCTAGTGAAGGCAGGGGGCTGGACTTGATGACCTTTCAGGGTCCCTTCCAGTTCTATGAGATAGGTATATCTCCATATTTGAAATTAGATTTTAAACTCTTTGGGCCTGGAACTGTGTCATCTTATTTGTACTGTGAGGCACCCAGCACAATACTGTGTGCTGTAAAGTATTTTCTGTCGGCTGTGCTGTTGAATTGCCTAAATCTACCATAAATTGGTTTACAGAAAAATATCTGCTGTAGTTTGCTAGTAGATACTTAGTGAAAATGTATTTGTATTCTGATCGTACACAAGGGCCCTGATCAGAATCAGGTCCCATTGTTCTGGGTGCTGTACACAAATATAGTAACATACTATTGCATCATGTGTAACCACCTGCTAGTTATGAACAGTGTGCCCCCAACTATTCAGAAAGATTCTGTCTGACAGAAAAGCACCCAGTTTTCATCCCACAAAAGCATACACAAGGACTCTTCCTTGTCCTGGGCTAATCTGTCACTTCCTGGCAGAGAAGGTGTTGGGAGCACCTCGTGTTGTTAAATAACTCCAACCAATTCAGTGTTGACTGACCCTAAAAGTAATTCCAGGGTGTTTCTAACTCCATAGATAAAATTGTGAGCATGATTTGTGCCTCAAGATGTGGGCAGGAGAGGGAAGAACTGGGACTTTCCAATACAGTTGGTACTCACGTACTTTACAATAATTACTTCCTTCATTTGATGGATACACTAAAAACTCTGAGATGATTTATTATTATTTAGGGACTGTCATAAATTTTGGCTAGAACAGAAATAGCTACTAGATTTCTTAATTAAAAAGTTGAAAGCAAAAGGAATTTGAAAGAGCTGATTTATTCCTTCTCAATTGTGAATTTCTACCCAAAGAGCTTTACAGTTTTAAAAGTCAGAGGAAGGGCATGCTCGGGGAATGACACAGCATAAAAGCAAATTGATCCAGGTGGTAGCAGGTTCTTGTCATGTTAGTCTCTTGTCTTTCCTTAGCATTTATTTATATGTTTGTTTAATACTACAAAAGCTTAAAGTTTAGTCTACTTCATTCTGTAACTCTATTCTCAGTACAGTTTTAGGACTATAAGCATATGAGAAAAAAGGCACCCATCCCCCCCCCCCCCCAGCTTGTCATACCTGTCCCTGTTTGACTTCCCTGAGGGGGTTGCATTTAGGGTTTTATTTTAAAATATTTTTGCCTTTAATTGTCCAATGTTGGGGAAATGTGTTTGAAAAATTGGATAAATGGTACCTACAGTCCAGTCATCCCTTCATCTCGTTTACAGGATTCCATCTTGGACATTAAAGTACCTATATTCAAAGAGCCCGGAGAAATGCCTGAAATCAGATCCTACATGGAAGAGTTCCCATTCCCATTCTACATAATCCTCAGAGATGTGAATGCCCTCCCAGAGACTCTCAGTGATGCGCTGCGACAGTGGTTTGAACTGGTGACTGCCTCAGAGAGTCTATAGAATTTACAAAGCAAGTAAACATCTGATTGCTGCTAAATTACTTAAGTGTGACTGCATTTCATCAGTGATTTGATGAGATCTCTCTATCCAGGATTTATGTGCAGGAACTGCCTTCTGATATTCAGACAGCCTAGAAAATAAATGCTTTAGGTGTGCTCTCCCCCATTTGCTAGGGCAGGAGACTATGCAATGGTGAAAGACTGTACTCACTTATTTGCCTATCCCTATAACAATGCAAACCTTCTACCACCACTGTTGTAATTTATTATTTTTAAATTTTATTTGGAATGTTCATATCATTGAAGGGGGGGAAGTAGTCTTGTTTCTGGGAAGGAACTTCTTTTATTGGAAGAACTTGAACAGTCTTGGAACTGTTTTAGCTGAACCCGTGGTGGTGGTACATGTGGGTGGGGGAAGGATGGGTTTACACAACCAAAATATAAGTACTTGAATACTTAAAACTGTGTTTTGTGGTTAAACACATCCTATTTAATATATGTTGCTGGTTGTTGGATAATGCCTGCAGGGTATTTTTATGAAACATGCCATGATATGATCTTCCCTGCATTATCACTTTACACTGTGAAGTTTGCCCCTCTGTCCAAGGCAGACATTAAAGACACATTTAGTCAGGTGTCTTAAAGATTGTACATGACTTTTTTCATTGCAAAAGCTATGCATCTTATTGTCTGTACTAATAAAAAGATGTACCACTGTTTGTAATTATGGTGTCCATCCTTTGTCATTTGATGAAGCAAAAATAGCTATGCCACAGGAATAGTACTTGGTGCACATATAATGCTTTAAATTTTCAGAACATCATACAAACAGTCCTCAAATCAGATAGGCTCCTAGCTTGCATAACTAAACGGGTTTCACTTGTTCTGGACTGTGAGGGGTTGCCAGATATGTGAGGTTTTTATTGGTGGCCTCATCGTCCTAAACATTCTGGCAGATTTGTGCTACTTGACCAATGCAAATCTGCTGGTAAGCTAGTTTAACTGACCCCATCAGGATTCTCCATGCATAAGTGGAAACTCTGAATATTGAAGTGCTGGCTCTTCTTCACAGCCAGGTGTAGCTGGGAGGGTGTGATAATTTGGGGAATCTGAGTACAACTTAGAAATTCTGGTTAATTTTATGAAATTGTATCATTGAATGCCTCAGTGGATATGGAGTCAGCCATATCTTATCAGGGCCTGTAGGAATAGTTATGAAATTAAAGTTAGCTTAAGTTTAAGAAAATAATATATGTACTTTATGGTTTGTGGCTAGTAACACCCCAATCAGCAGGTAAAAGAAAGTGATGAGAATAATTAGTGGTATTATTTTTACTTGTCGTGTGGGAATGATGTATGGTTCAAAAAGTAACTAATAAAATAAAAAGCTGCAGTAACAAGACAAACCAGCCTCTAAGCCACCCTCCCACCTTGGCAGTGCCAGCCATGGGGGTCACTAGGACAGCCTGTGTGGGTGCCAATGGGGGGCGGGCGTGGGCCCCTACAAGGTTTCTTTTAAGAAACAAGCACAAACCTTCCCACTGTTCTGCTGGTAAGCAAGGAGTGGGGAAGAGAGAAGAAAGGAAGACCTTACTGGAAGGAAACTAGCAAGAATAAACTTCTTCAAACTGGGTTTTTGCTAAAGCTTGCAAGTTTAACTGAAGGGTATAAAGAGAGCCATAAAGCTGAAGGTTATCAGATCCTACTTGATCATGCCAGGATGAGACAATTTTCACTTGGTCTGGCCTATATGTAAGTATACTGATCACATGCTTATGGATACTTTATTACTGTATTGGGTGTTTTTAGGCTTAGGAATGTTTAGGGAAATTGATTAAAATACCATTTAGCCTTTGGGCTTAATAAAAGAATTTATGGTTAAATTAGAGTCTAGTGGTCTCCTATTTTAATAATTTCAATTAATTCCAGCAGGGCTGGTGTCACATCCCTACCTGACCAGAGACACTGGAGAGTTGTTATACAGTTCCCATTAAAATGGGAGCATCTCAGAGCAATGGGAGGGCCACGTCGGAGGTGAAACCAGTTTTCTCCATCATCTATGCAGACCAAGGAGAGCTTAACAGTGTTGTGGGACTCAGATGCATCAGTCTGGCATGCATCCAGTGTGGGGAGCTTTAATAGGTCTGTGAGGGTGTGGTTAAGGGGGAAAAGGGCGTGGCTGGAGCATTGCTGCAATTCCCAGCTATCTGATCAGACTCTTGGGGTTGAGGATAGCCAGGCATAATTTAAAACAGCCTCAGGACTGCTGGGGAGGATCTGAGAGATGTACAGAGGATGATGGATGCCCAAGTGGGGGAGAAAAGTCCTTGGGATTCTCTCTGGGATCAGTTTCCATGATGCTTCCCAAGAACTCAGTTGGACTCCAGCCTTTATCACTGAGATATCTTTATTTGGCATACAGCAGTGCTATACTGAGTTGATTAGACTCAAACGCAGGTGCAATGGATGCAGGGTACATCACAGCTCCAAAATTACACAGCAACTCTCTCCCTTTATATACATTACATATCTCATTGCATTTATGATACATTGCATTACACATTTTTAGATTGGCTTGGTTAGTTTGCAGGAACCAATCCCTCCTATGCAGCAAGCTCTGTCCACACTTTCTATGCTCAGTACTCTACCTGTCCATTCCTAATTCATCTTGTTCACAGGAACTAGTGCCCTGCGTGTTCTCCCTTTTATCTTAGCTGGCTCAGACAGTCTTTCTAATCTACTGCCCTCTTTACTCATTTAATGCATACATCCTGTTTGCAGCCTGCTGCGTCATTTACCTCCCTAGTCCCATCGTCCAAGGAAAGGAGGCCTCCCCCCATGTGTTAATTTATCGTATCAGGCCCAGCCTCTCAGCCACCCTCCCACCTTGGCAGTGCCAGCCATGGGGGGTCACTGCGACAGCCTGTGTGGATGCCAATGGGGGGCGGGCTTGGGCCCCTACTAGCACAAACCCGCAGCTGCTGCGCTGGGGCAGGCGGCCGGGAACGCTGCGCGGCTCCTTCCCCGGGGGCACCCACAGGAGCTGGCGCCGGCGCTGGGCAGCCCGGAACCAGCACGTTTCCCGCCCACGCCGAGGCTGCCGCTCTCCGGGGCCAGGCCTCAAATCCCCTCCCGCCCCCGCCTGACCAGCGGGACCCGGCTCTGGCCGCCGCCGCTTCCCGCGAGAGCCCCGGGCGGGGAGGGGCCCAGGGACCCCGCGAAGGCGGGGCTGCGGCGCGCACGCAGGGCCTGGTCGGTGTCATGGCCGCGTCCCGGCTGCCTCCGGCAGCGCTGACGCTGAAGCAGGTACCGGCCGGGGGGCCGCAGTACAGGCTGAGGGAGTCGCTGCTGCCGGCTTCAGCCCCCACTGTTTGGGGGCCGGACGATGGCGCCCTGCCTGGCCCAGCGCTCGCCCCGGGGCCGCTGACCGGTTACCGTGTGCAGGGACCCGGGGGGCTGGGCTGGGCTCAGTGGCTGCGGGCCAGAGGCGGGGGAGATGCTGCCCCTGTGACCTGACACCTGGGTCAGAGCCCGACGGGCACGGCCCGGTGGCTGGCCCAAGCCCCGGGGTTTTCAGAGCGGAACGATGGGGGCAGTTGGCAGCGCCAGAGACTCTGCTGCGCCGCTTGGGGGGGACCTTGGGTGAGTGACTTGGCCCAATTTTCAGTCGGGCTAAGCACCCGTTGGACGTCAGTGGCCTCCCCTCCGTTTCCATCCGAGGTCTGGTCTATACTACCCGCCTGAACCTGCGGGTAGAAATCGACCTCTCGGGGATCGATTTATCGCGTCCCGTCGGGACGCGACAATCGATCCCCGAATCGGCGCTCTAACTCCACCAGCGGAGGTGGTAGTAAGCGCCGCCGACAAAAAGCCGCAGAAGTCGATTTTGCCGCCGTCCTCACAACGGGGTAAGTCGGCTGTGATACGTCGAATTCAGCTACGCTATTCACGTAGCTGAATTTGCGTATCTTAAATTGACTCCCCCCTGTAGTGTAGATGTACCCCTAGACCCGTGCTGAGCCTGCTGCCCTCCACTGAAACAGCTCCTGCCAAAGGCTTGTCTCCACTCTAGCCTATGTTGGCAAAACTTACGTTGCTCAGAGGTGTGAAAAAAACACCCCCAAGCAACATAAATTACACCAACATAAGTACTCTTGGGCACAGCATTATGTTGGCAGGAGAGCTTCTACCACCAGCATAGCTTCTGCTGCACCTGGACAGGGCCAACTCCAGGCACCAGCGTAGCAAGCAGGTGCCTGGGGCGGCCAATGAAGAGGGGGGCAGCACATTCGGCAGCAGGGCCGTCACTCCCTCTCCAAGCGAAGGACCTGCCGCCGAATTGCCGCCATAGAATGAAGCAGCAGTAGAGCTGCCACCGGCCAATCGCGATAGCAGCTTTTTTTTTTTTTTTTTTGCTGCATGGGGCAGCAAAAATGCTAGAGCCAGCCCTGCTTATGGAGGTGATTTTACTATACTGACGGGAGAGCTCTCTGTATGTATAGACATGGCCAAAGTCTCTAATGCCCCCTCTTTGAACAAAGCTCAGAAACAGTGCTTCATCCCCTCCTCCACCTCACAGCAGTTTTTGACATTGTCAACTGTGCTCTTCCTCTGGAAATCTGACCTGGCTTGGCTTTCATGACTGAGTCCTTTCCTGATTCTTTCATCTCTCTAATTGCTCCTTCAGCATCTTGTTTGAAGGATCCTTCTAATCCCCCCACCCCAATTTTCTGTGTGGGTTCCACAGAGCTCCCCTCCTTTCCCTTCTCCCATTCAGCTATAATTCCTACAACAACTCTGATATCTGCATCTCCACTCCAGACCTGTCTGTTTCTGTCCAAACTAAAATCTCAGACTCTGTCATTGACATCTCATGAACATCCAGTTGGCAGCTTAAACTCAGTGTGGCCAAAACAGAGCTCATATTCTCCCCCTCTCCCCCTTCCCTATTTCTCAAGCACTGTGGATACCACCTCAGTTCTCCTTGTCAGAATCTGGTGATCTTTGACTCTGCCTTCTTTCTGGAGTCTCACATTCAAGCTGTGTATAAATCTTCTCAATTATTTTTGCAAAGTATCTTTAAACATACAGCCTTTCCTAAGCATCCACACAGTTAAAACTTGTAATCCAATCACTGCAACATCCTCTTCTCTGGCCTTGAGAAAGGCAACCTTGCCCTGCTTGTATCCATTCAGAATGCTGCTGCAAGGATCATTTTCCTAGCTCGTCACTTTGACCATGCCCCCCTCCCCCTGCTCCCTCTTCTCCATTTTCAGTCCCCACATTACCTATTGACTCTCATAGGCTATAGAGAGGTTGACTCCTGCTTCCCTTGTCAGTGATGCCAACCTTAATCATTCACTTGTTAAATTCTCAAAGAAGCTTCTTTGTGCTTTCTCCCATGCTGCCTCATGCATGGGAGGCATGCTCCATAAACATTCGCAATTGCACCTCTCTTTTGCTGTAATGCTTACAAAAAACTTAATAGTCATGCAGCTGGTTTGCTGAGACCAGTCATACTGACCATTATTGTCTTATTTTTTTGAGCTCCCCCCTCTGTCTGTATCTGTTTGTTGTCTCTTGTCTTGTATTTAGAGCTTGTCTGTGAAAATGTTATACTGGTATAGTTAAAGTAGTATAACCCCCCTAAGTAAGTGTGGACACTGTAGTACTGATATAAAGGTGCTTATACTGGTATACCTATTCCGCATGTGATGAGGAATAAGATGTACGAGTGTAATGTACTTTTATACTGGTAAAACTGCATCCACACTAGGGTTGTACCAGTATAACTAGGCTTGGCAGAATTTGATTTTTTTTAAAATAATTTTGATGGATAACGTCAATGTTTATTTTTAAGCATTTTTTTAAATTTTAGGCTATTTCATTTTTCACAGTTGTGGGGAATTAGGAGGGGTTCAGACAGTCGTTATTTAAAGACAGTAGACATTGATATTCAAAAAGTGAACGCTTTATAATCTTTAAAACATAAATTGTCAAAATATACAACGTAAATATCTTTAAATCAACCTCTGATAAGTTCTCAAGCAGTGTTTTTCTTACTTTGCCTATCCGTACATTTTGATTATCAATGGAAATATTTTTTATTGATTTGTGTATGTATAGTGAAATCGACGTTTACCAATACAAATCTGATCCTCCCAAGCCTAAATATAGTGATGTCAGTAAAAAAAAATCACAGTCCTAACTGAACTAGTTATATTGGTGCAAAAGCTATCTATAGACCAGGCCATAGACTGTAAGATGTGTGGGGCAGGGACCATCTTTCTGTTGTGTTTATAGAGGGCACAGTGGGGCCCTGGTGTATGACTAGACGCTTTGCAATCTAGCTAATCATCGGAGTTTCTAGTCCTTTTTACAGATTTCCCTCTATTCCAGTGGTTCTCAAACTGTGGGTCAGGACCCCATTTTAATGGGGTCACCAGGTTGACTTAAACTTGCTTGGGCCCAAGGCCAAAGCCTGAGCCCCATCACCTGGGGCCAAAGCCCCAGGGCTTCAGCCCTGAGCGGCAGGGCTCAGGTTACAGGCCCCCTGCCTGGGACTGAAGCCCTGGGATTTTGGCTTTGGCCCCCCTTTCCAGGGTGGTGGAGCTCGGGCGGTCTCAAACTTCAGTACTCCCTCCTGGGGGCGTGTAGTAATTTTTGTTGTCAGAAAGGGGTCCTGGTGCAATGAAGTTTGAGAACCCTGCTCTATTCCAATAGCCCAGCTCAGATTAGATCATTCAAATTTAAAATTTACTCTGTTTTTCTTCTAAATTTTAAGCTTCTTATAGACTAAACTTGCATTGCAGGTACTTTCTCTGGGTTCATTTAATTTCCAGGTGGTATTTGGCTTAAAACCCTATAAAGGTTTTAAAAAAAACTTTCTTTGACTGGAGACCACTGTTGCAGCAGATATAACAGGCATTTCCCCTCTTCTTTGCAGTTCTTGAGAAGGCAGCAAGTTCTTCAGTTATACAGAAGAATTCTGCAGGCTATTCGTCAGGTACCTACTGAAACTGATCGGCACTATCTAAAGGAGTGGGCAAGGGAAGAATTCAAAAGAAATAAAGATGCAACAGATGAGGTGAGGAATCAGAGGCAGCAGCCTCATAGCAATGCCTTTTATATACTTGGCAGCATTCTTAGTGCTACAGATTATGGTTTGTTATATGCTTTGTTTTTTTAACTGCACCAAGCCTTCTATAACACCTGTTTTTGGAATCTATTTTGTTGATTATTCTAAAACAGGTAATGTTTATACAAAAGCGATACAATACATTGGGGAGGGTTCAGAGAAGAACCATGAGAATGATTAAAAGATTAGAAAACAGTGATAGACTGAGGCTACGTCTTCACTACGGGGGGGGGGGGGGTCGATTTAAGATACGCAAATTCAGCTACGCGAAAAGCGTAGCTGAATTCGACGTATCGCAGCCGACTTACCCCGCTGTAAGGACGGTGGCAAAATTGACCTCTGCGGCTTCCCGTCGACGGCTCTTACTCCCACCTTCGCTGGTGGAGTAAGAGCGTCGATTCGGGGATCGATTGTCGCGTCCCGATGGGACGCGATAAATCGATCCCCAAGAGGTCGATTTCTACCCGCCAATTCAGGCGGGTAGTGTAGACCTAGCCTCAGTCTGTTTAGTTTAACAAAGAGAAGGTTAGGGTGACTTGATTACAGTCTGTAAGTATATACACAGGAAACAAATATTTAATAATGGGCTCTTCAACCTAGCAAAGAAAGGTATAACACAATCCAATGGCTGGAAGTTCAAGCTAGACAAATTCAGACTGGAACTGAAGCATACATTTTTGACAGGGAGGGTTATTAACTATTGGAATAATTTATCAAGGATCAGTGTGGAGTCTCCCATCACCAACAATTTTTAAATCAAGATTGGATGTTTTTTCTAAAAGATATGCTCTAGGAATTATTTTGGGGAAGTTTTATGGCCTGTGTTATACAGGAGGTCGGACTAGATGATCACAATGGTCCCTTCTGGCCTTTCAATCTATGAAAACTGTCAACACTATCCCTTCTTTTCTTTCTTGCTTGCGAATAAATTTTTTTTTCTGATTCCTTAAATTGAGTAAATTGGAATTAAAAAACAAAACAAAAACTGCTTGCTTGAAATAAGAATCAGAGAAAACTATTAATTTTACAATTTTGTATTGAATAGTGGAGAGCAATTATAAGTTTACTAAGGCCGGGCCTGCCTCTTTATGATATCTGTTGGGGTTATATTTAAATTAGCTTTGCGCAGTGGCAGTATCATAGCCAATGAGGTTAATCCGAGGTGCGATTATTGCTAATTGAAAACTTTATTAATTTAGACTGAACAAAACAAATTTGACTTGATATCTGTATAGGAAGTGGCAATAGGTGGGGAAAACTTCACCTTTTCTCAAAAATTTCTACGCCCCGCTTGCCAGCTGTGCACCTTTCCTAGTCAGTATTAAGGAATTACTGGCTGGAATTATGCAGACTAAGTGATATACAGAATTCCAGAAGAATGTCCACACCATTTATCTCTGAAAAATCCCTCTCTACAATGCACATCTGTGGTTCTTACCATTTATTCACAGAAACATTGGAAAGGACATGGATGTATAAAGAAAATACTAATTCAGTTAGATTTTGAATCAAAGAAACTTTTCCACTGACTTTTAAGCCACAGGAATAACCCCCAATGGCACTGTTAAGAACTTGTGGAAAAATGACTGGCAAATTAATATATGCAATGTTGTAGCCGTGTCGGTCCCAGGATGTTAGAGAGAGAAGGTGAGTGAGGTAATGTCTTTTATTGGACCAATTTCTGTTGGTGAGAGACAGTTGCTTCACCTATCAGAATGATGAACATATTGTGTGGTCTTCATTGTTTTAGAGACTGAATGCTTTATTGCGTGCCATTGACTCAGGCAAACAAATTGATTGAAAAATGCAGCAACTCTGGCAAAAAGCTGTATACTGTTGTGTGTTATAATATAGGTGTTCAGCCCAACAGATTCCATTTCACTTTACAGGATGCAATTAGGATGATGATTACTCAGGGCAACATGCAGCTTCGGGAGCTTGAAAAAACACTTCAGCTGGCAAACTCCTAATCTTAATTCTGAGAGCCAATGGACTTTCATCCACTGTGGGAAGTACAGTACTTTCTCCAGGATGCAGCACCTCATCTTATGCTAAGATACCGGTAATGTTTCAAGGTGGAATACAGTACAATACCATTATTTCCTTTCTCTTCTTGAGTCTGTTACCCTGAATATTTGACAATCATAGACAAATTACTTGTGCCATATTTGTTCAAATAATCAAAAGTGTGGCATAATACTTACTGAGAGAGAAGCAGGAAGTACTGAATAACAGCAGCAGTGCAAAATAAAAATAAAAATCTGGTTTGAATGTATTTTCTGTTTGTTTTCTACATTAGTTCTAAATGTTACAATCTTATGGGAGTTGTCTCTAGAGTTCCGAAGTCCCAAACTCCTGAACTTTCTGTTTCATAATAAATGTGTTCAAAATACTAAGAAAATTTCTCATATATAGGTGGTAACTTGATCCAGTTTATTGTTTGAGGTAGTGTCTTTAACCATGATTATGATTGAATAAACCTTAATGGTGTGAGAGAATTTAACCTAGGATATGGTTATTGCCAAATTAAGAAATACCTCTTATGATTATACTGACAAGCGTTCACATGTTACATAAAGTAGAACAAACTGAAAAAGTATATTCATAGAATATCAGGGTTGGAAGGGACCTCAGGAGGTCATCTAGTCCAACCCCCTGCTCAAAGCAGGACCAATTCCCAACTAAATCATCCCAGACAGGGCTTTGGCAAGCCTGACCTTAAAAACCTCTAAGGATGGAGATTCTACCACCTCCCTAGGTAACCCATTCCAGTGCTTCAGCACCCTCCTAGTGAAAAAGTTTTTCCTAATATCCAACCTAAACCTCCCCCACTGCAACTTGAGACCATTACTCCTTGTTCTGTCATCAAGTATCACTGAGAACAGTCTAGATCCATCCTCTTTGGAACCCCCTTTCAGGTAGTTGAAAGCAGCTATCAAATCCCCCCTCATTCTTTTCTTCTGCAGACCAAATAATCCCAGTTCCCTCAGCCTCTCCTCATAAGTCATGTGCTCCAGCCCCCTAATAATTTTTGTTGCCCTCCGCTGCACTCTTTCTAATTTTTCCACATCCTTCTTGTAGTGTGGGGCCCAAAACTGGACACAGTACTCCAGATGAGGCCTCACCAATGTCGAATAGAGGGGAATGATCACGTCCCTGGATCTGCTGGCAATGCCCCTACTTATACAGCCCAAAATGCCGTTAGCCTTCTTGGCAACAAGGGCACACTGTCGACTCATATCCAGCTTCTCGTCCACTGTAACCCCTAGGTCTTTTTCTGCAGAACTGCTTCCTAGCCATTCGGTCCCTAGTCTGTAACAGTGAATGGGATTCTTCCGTCCTAAGTGCAGGACTCTGCACTTGTCCTTGTTGAACCTCATCAGGTTTCTTTTGGCCCAATCCTCTAATTTGTCTAGGTCCCTCTGTATCCTATCCCTATCCTCCAGCATATCTACCACTCCTCCCAGTTTAGTGTCATCTGCAAACTTGCTGAGAGTGCAGTCCACGCCATCCTCCAGATCATTAATGAAGATATGAACAAAACCGGCCCCAGGACCAACCTTTGGGGCACTCCGCTTGAAACCGGCTGCCAACTAGACATGGAGCCATTGATCACTAGCCGTTGAGCCTGATGATCTAGCCAGCTTTCTATCCACCTTATAGTCCATTCGTACAGCCCATACTTCTTTAACTTGCTGGCAAGAATACTGTGGGAGACCATAACAAAAGCTTTGCTAAAGTCAAGGAATAACACATCCACTGCTTTCCCCTCATCCACAGACCCAGTTATCTCCTCACAGAAGGCAATTAGGTTAGTCAGGCATGACTTGCCCTTGGTAAATCCATGCTGACTGTTCCTGATCACTTTCCTTGCCTCTAAGTGCTTCAGAATTGATTCCTTGAGGACCTGCTCCATGATTTTTCCAGGGACTGAGGTGATCCTCCTCCTTCCTTTTTTTTAAAGATGGGCACTACATTAGCCTTTTTCCAGTCATCCGGGACCTCCCCTGATCGCCATGAGTTTTCAAAGATAATGGCTATGCAATCACATATTAATGTTGTGGCCCTTCCTTTCCTTCCTCATGTTGTATTTCCCACATGGATGGCAACATAATTTGTTTATTTCAATTTCAAAAGTAAAGGAGGTTGAGTTTCTTTGAATGTAAATAGCTATATACCCAAACAACAGATGTACACAGCTGCCAGCTAGTATGTCTTGGTTCAGTTCTAATGAGCAGCAGACCAAGTTTCTTCAAAGCTATACCTGCAGACTTGGTTGAAAGACTTCACAAGGCTGGTTAGCCAACCACTGGCTGACCGATGGGCTGTTAGAAAGAAATTTCTCCTGTAGTTAGGCTATATTCCAGAATTGTTGTCTATGGGGTTTCTTGACCCTCTTTCTGAGGCTCTGGTTCTGGCTACTGCCAAAGACAAGACACTGGATTAGACAGCTCTCTGGTTTGTGTTGAGAGGTTGCTCCTGTGGATTTTTTAAAGCAGGGGTGGGCAAACTTTGGGCCACATTGGGGTTGTGCAACTGTATGGAGGGTGGGGTAGGGAAGGCTGTGCCTCCCCAAACAGCCTGGCCCCCGCCCCCTCCCACTTCCCACCCGCTGCCTGCCCCCCTCAGCACTCCCAACCCATCCAACCATTCCTGCTCCTTGTCCCCTGACTGCCCCCTCCTGGGACCCCTGTCCCCTGATTGCCCTGACCCTTATCCACTCCCACCCCCATCCAACCGTCCTCTGCCCCCCGGGATCCCACCCTCTTATCCAACCTCCCCTGCTACCTGTCCCCTGACTGCCCTGCCAGCCCCTATCCACATTCCCGCCCCCTGGGACTCCCTGTTCCACATCCCCTGACCACCCCCCCAGAACCTCCGCCCCATCCAACTGCCCCGTCCTCCCTAACTGTCCCCCAGAACACCCCGCTCCCTTACCCAACCCCTTACCAGCAGCAGGAGCTCACAGCCACGACACCCAGCCAGAGCCAGCTGCACTCCCCATGCTGCCCAGCGGGAGTGTGGCTGCAGGGGAGGGGCCGGGGACTAAGCTCCCCAGTTGGGAGCTCAGATTTTTTCTTCAGTTCTTTAAAAAACAAACAGTCTGCTTCCTTGATGATTAGAAGGGCCTTTTTGAGCAGAGTCTGAGTATACCACCTTCAAAGGCCAAGTCTCCCCACCCCCTCTTTCTCTGTCTGCACACTGCTGCAGGATTCTTACAGATCATGCTGACCAATATCGTCTAATTTTTCCTTGTCTTTTTCTGTCTGTATCACCTAATGTTTTTGTATTGTACATAACACTGTAGGCTCTTTGGGGCTGGGATTGTCCTTGTTGAGGCTGTGAGGTCCCAGTCTGTAAGTGGTGCTTCTAGGAGCTACCACAATACAAAAAATAAACACACAACATGCACTTTCAACACAACAGTGAAACTGAGTAAGATAAGATTTTTTTCCCTTCATTTTAACTTATCTTCTTCAGTTACAGTAACCTTAAGGGATAAGGAAGTGTGATTTTTTTTTCAAGTTGGTGTCCCTTTAATTTCTGCCAACGAGATCAGCTTGTCATTAATACTCTGTCCCTTTTACAGTGTGGAGCTCAGGATTTAAAATGTACTAGAACCCTTTTATAACAACACTAAATTAATTGTGCCTTATATAAATTTATCCTGGCCTACTCCTATAGTAACAATTATCACACACACCTTTTAACCATTTATTAAATTCACAAAAAAGGAAAATCAGTTAAAACATTTTAAACTTTGTTTTGAAAACTTCCTTTTTTCTATCTAGAGAAAAACTTTGCTTGATAGTCTTTGCTTGAAAAGTCAGATTTAGCTGGCAACTTCTGAGGCGTTGTTGGTGAAGTCCAACCAACACACTTAAAATAAACACACCCAGTGGGAGGTAGAAAAGATCCATGAAGATTATAAATTGCAGCTTCAGTTTGTTCCTTGCTTGCACTTTAGCTGCTAGAAAATCACTGGCATAGACCAGAAATTTATTAGCCATTCTGGTACTTAGTAATCTCAATCAATCTTGTTTTTAGCTTGCCTCTTTGGTCACAGGTTTACAGCATTATTGCAAGGGTAGATCTCTTTTTGCTGGCTAAGCTGGTCTCTTAGGAGACAGAAGGCAAAAAGAGGTAGAAGAAATAAGGAGGCACTGACACATAGGAAGAGAGTAATATTAGGAACATCAGGTTTATATCCCAGCTGTTGCTCAGGATTTACCTGACCCTCTGAAGGTGATGTCATCTGGCTCCCTCTACTTGTCTGATCGGATCAGGACATCATTCAGATTCAGGAAAATGATGTGGCAGTCCCAACAGGTGATGAGAGTAGTGACAACCATGATTAGTGAAGCTCTCTGACTCACAGTAAAGCCTTTCTCCTCCTCCCTCCCAGCAACAAGCTGCCAGCTGCCCCCAGAAAAATAGTACCCTACATAAAAGGTTAAATGGACACAAATCAGATATTAGGAATGGCAATATACAAAAACCTGTAGGAGAACACTTCAACCTCCCAGGACACACAATAGCAGATTTAAAGGTAGCCATCCTGCAGCAAAAAAACTTCAGGACCAGACTTCAAAGAGAAACTGCTGAGCTTCCGAAGAAGTGGGTTGTAGCCCACGAAAGCTTATGCTCTAATAAATTTGTTAGTCTCTAAGGTGCCACAAGTACTCCTGTTCTTCTTGCGGATACAGACTAACACGGCTGCTACTCTGAAACCTGCTGAGCTTCAGTTCATCTGCAAATTTGACACCATCAGCTCAGGATTAAACAAAGACTGTGAATGGCTAGCCAACTACAAAAGCAGTTTCTGCTCCCTTGGTGTTCACACCTCAACTGCTAGAAGAGGGCCTCATCCTCCCTGATTGAACTAACCTTGCTATCTCTAACCTTACTCACTCTTGCTTGCATATTTATACCTGCCCCTGGAAATTTCCACTACATGCATCCGAAGAAGTGGGTATTCACCCACGAAAGCTCATGCTCCTATATGTCTGTTAGTCTATAAGGTGCCACAGGACTCTTTGCTCCTAGTACAGAAAGAGATGACACCCTTAATCAAAACCAACATCTAGCAATCCTAAGTCTGGGCATTTCCTTTCACTTTAACTTGTTTTATTATAGCAATTCTGTGATCTTACCAGAGTCTTGAAACTGTGTAAACACAGTTTTTAGTTCAAACATTCAGTTTGTAAATTTCTTTAACTCAGCTTGTGCTTAGCTTTTATAAGCAATTTCATGTAACAAACTTTATAGGTCAAAATGAACTTTGTCACTCCTTACCCACTTTGGGCAATATAAGACTTCCACCCAGGGTACAGTCCTTGACTGAGAACGTCCCATGAAGCATCTAAGCCAGTTGGTTCCATAAGCCTGTAGGAGCACAATGTGCGGACTCTACCAGAGTCTGTCTGCCAGAAGCCTTTTAGTGGTTATGAGCTCTGCAGGAGTCCATGCAGG